CACCATTCATGTTGTCACAAATGGCAAGAGTTCCTCTTTTTGTAGCTGACCGTATTACATTGCATATACACCTCTCTGTGTATATATCACCCACATCTGAATCCACTCATCTGCCTTTTGATATGTTGGCTGTTTGCATACCTTTTCTGTTGTAAATAGCGCTGCATCCTCCCAACATTTACTGTTTCTGGTCTTCTTGACACAGGCCATCCTTGTGGTTTTGATTTGCATTTACCTGATGCTAAATGTTGATGAATATTTCTTTATATGCCTCTTGGCCATCTGTATGTCTTCTTTAAAAAAAATTTGTATTTAGGGCTCTCCCTGGTGGCACAACAAGTTAAAGTACAGCACTACGAAGCTAGCCACAGCCACCTCATGAGCTTGATCCCCACCAGGGAGGTGACCCACATGGCGTGGCAGACCTCTTCTGAGCTGCCCGCTGATCCCCTCAGCAGTGTACTTCATTGATCTGCCTGTTCTGCTCCCCACTCTGTCTCTGGTGAAGCCTCTCACCCTCCGCATCTCTGGTCTGTACCCCAGTTCTGTATGCATAAATAAATAAATCTTTTTTTAAAAATGTGTATTTAGCTACTCAGCCCATTTTTAAATTGGGTTATTTGCTGTCTTTTTGTTGAGTGGTATTAATTCTTTGTAGATTATGGATATCAGCCTCCTATTGTATGTATGGTACACAAATATTTTCTCCCATTCGATTGGGTGTCTTTTAGTTTTCATGATAGTTTTTTCTTTTTCACTTGCAGAAACATCATAGTTTGATGTTTTGTTTTGTTTTTCCCTTGCTGTTGGAGTTAAATCCCCGAAGTCTTCACTGAAGCCAGTGCCATGCAGTGCTTTGCCTATGTTTTCTTCCATGTATTTTATGGCTCAGGTCTCACTGTCTTTGGTCCAGACACTTTAGATAGACTATCTTGACTCCATTCTGTGCTTTTAGTGGGCCTTTATAATGTAAGATGAAGAAATCAGTGTCTTTGAATTGTCCACATTGTTCCTCCTGCTTCCTACATCCAAGCTTCTATCAAGCTGTCCGATGACTTTTAATTTTGCTTCCAGCAAAAGAAGCAAATGTCTTGACCATATGGGCCTTTCATGCTTTGTCTATAACTAGGTCATGAGAAGTGAGCAGTATTTCTATTTTTTTAAATCAAAGTCATGAGGTAAAAATCCATAGAAAGAAGGAAATGTAAACCTTGGCTCTTGAACAAGAATAGATCATCATCTCTCTTTCTCCACTCCATTAATTGACAAAACTTACAGGTTTTAATTTGCTTCCTATTTAGACGATTACTTTCCGGAGTTGCTTTTGAGTTTTGTTTTTATTTTTCCAGGGGTTTCTAATTATCTTTCCTTATTCTTGTTGACGAAAGAAAGAAGTGACTCTTCGCCATTTCTCTTCATTCATTTAGCTTATTAATGATACACCAATGGCATGACCTACTTGTGCTGGCGGCCTTCCGAATCTGCTACACAGCTGTCATCCTGCAACTCCTCTCCTTTGAGTGCCTGGCCAACTTTAGAGTCCTACAAATAGCTCTTTCTTGCATTGTTTTTTGATTCTCCTAATGTTTCCCTTAATATTTTTCCCATAAAAATATATTTTATATATAAAATTTTTTAAAGTTTATTTTGCATAAACTTTCTGAGATCTAACATATCTGTAAATATATTTTACCATCATCTGATGATAGTTTGAGTAATCATAGCATCATAAATTCACATCATTTCTACTCT